AATGAGATGTCGATTCTCTTCAATGGCTCTCAGTTTCAATTCAAAGACTTTGCATTTTATATCAAAATTATCTCTATTTGTAAATAAAACCAAATAAAGTCTTTTGAATCAAAATTAAGTTTTCTTTCATTTATTTCTATTTTAAGGACTTTTGTATACAAATTGTGTCCAAATATTGAATCAAATGATAATTTGTAAAACTTTGTAAATATAAAAATGTAAATGAATTAGTGATTCAACGGTTTGTCTGTATTTAAACATTAGATCATTTGATTCTCATTCATATCAAGACTTATCTAATCTTATTTGAGATAATAATAGAAAGTATTCCTCAACTTTGAAGAAAGGGTTTAATGACTACTAGTTTTGTAATTAAAGTATAATTATTTTTATTGTATCAAATAATGTGTTATTATTTGTATTTAATCAATAATTCGATGATTTAATGATTTAATCTTAAATTTAATAAAAATCTGTGCTTTTGATCACATCTTCACTCCAGAAGAATGTCTCAGATTTTATCCAAAAGTGAAAAATATGTTAAATTCCGTTAATTACAGAGAATTTCCGTTATGTTTGTCATTATTTAAATTGAATTTAAATGTATTTTAATCAACGGTTCACTCAATCGCATGAAATACATGTATTTAATTGTATTGTTGTCTCCAAAGGCTATAAAAAGAAGAATTGATTTCTGAGAAAGAATGGATCCATTGGTTGAAATCGATTCCGAAGAGGAGACGACATCTGCGCTGCGATCGGGCGGTGAAGTGTTGGAGAGTCGGCGGAGAAGCCGTTCGGGAAGAGGCGGTCGAGGCGTCGCTCCTGTTCTGGTTGTCGCCAAAGACTTGGCATTTAATATCAAAATTATGTCTCTTTTGTTTGTAATGAGTCTTTTGAATCAAAATCAAGTTTTATTTCATTCATTTGTATTTTAAAGATATTTTATAAGTTTTTATTAATTATATTTATATTTTCTTAACATTACATCATTTGATTCTCATTGACATCGAGACTAATCTAATCTTATTTCTGGTTATTTAACTGATTCTTAATTGTCTCAAAATTCAATTCATTTTCACTACAACTCAACACTTCAGACATAAGTTGCGAACGATTTTCTTCGGCTTTAATGGCATTCAATTGTACTCTTTTCTCGACAATCAATTCATTCACATTTTTAATTCGCTTTTGTTTCTGAAATATTGACAAAAATCAATATTAAATAAAAACCAATAAAACAGATATAAAAAGTCTAATAATTACTTCAATTATACGACCAATGGTTTCACTCATTGACTCATTGTTTAGTAAATAGTTGTCATCGGATGTGATTTGGTGTGGCGTTTGATGGTGTGAGTGGTGTGAGTGTGCCTTTGCCTGCAAAGAGAGTGTCATCAGTGATGAGTGGACACCACATGGCATACAATACACACCTTATAGGTCTCAACGCAGCCATCCATCAGTTTTTGGCCGTAAGTGCGGTTCTTGTGGACCAATTCGCGCCACTTCTCGGCCGTCACCGGCGATGACCAGCCTTTGCTCTCTTTAACCAAATCCACAAACAGTTGTCTCTGTATTGGCATAAAGTCGTCCTCTGGTTTGTGAGCCATCGTTTCGGTCATGTCTTCGCGCATCTAATTGTCACCAAAAGTTGGTCTCAAAATATTTGACAATTTCTTGAAACTTAACAATTGAAGGGCTGTTCATAAACAACGTCCACATTTGACTCGCAATAAGACAACCCCTTAAGACACGCTGGGATCCGATTGATTACCAATTAATGGTCACTAATCACATCCAATGTGGTCATTGTCTCGCAAATAGATCCGCCATTAATTGACACAATTATCGTATAATAAATATGACAACAAATTAGCAATAAATGGCAAAAACGTGACAAAAATGGCGAAACAGTCGCCGTCTCGCGAGTGAACACGTGTTGACACAATTCAAACGCCAAACGCGTCGTCCGATTGGTTGCTATGCTTTAAGTCGTTATGAAAACACAGTTTTAGCGCCCATTCACTCAATAAACACAATATTTGCTGTTTTTGTCTATCATTTGATCCATTAATTCATCCGTGAAATCAACGCCACAATTGTGTTGACTGTCGTCAACTGATCCCATCAATCCTGTGACTAATCAGTGCCGCACAGAAAGCATGTCTGGCATCACGTGGACATTGGATCCGTTGTCACGCGTGCGACGGCCGCGCAGTCGCCCTCCGCTGACCCGAAACATCACTCGGACGCGGATCCAGAGCTACGCCGACTTTGAGACGTTGAGCAACGCTCCGACCTATCCGTCCGGACAGATGACAAGGGATGAGTTCTTCGCCACTTTCACTCGTGTTTCTAATTACAACCGTCGGAATGGCATCCGAAGCAGTGGCGCACCCGCTGTCGACTGGGCCTCAATCATACCCGACATGTCCGGCAGTTCGGGCGACGCCGACAAAGACGACTCATTCATGAATATTCTCAAGAATGCCATTTCGTCAACTCCGCAGACGAGTGGCAGAGGGAAGGCTTTGGCCATCACTCCCGCGCCGTCGAGCGCCCGCTCAGCCGCTAAACGATCGACAGTTAGCGTCCACTCGAGCGCCAAACGGTCGGCGACCAAAGGGGCGCTCAAACCGTTGCCTCAATTAGTGAATCAAATGACACCAATCGCCTCCTCATCTGCAAAGAGTCCGAAGATAGCGACTGTCATTAGAAGTAAGTTTTTTGCCACACATTTATTATTGATTGATTGTCTTATATCTAATGCTATCATTGATTAACAGAATCGCTGAACAGAACCGCTAAAGAGAAGACTCCATCTCAAGAGACGCGATCTTTTATGCAGCGGAAGAGCTTTGTTCCCGAATATATGGAGCGAACAGTACTCGAGTCGAGTCCATACGGCTCTCCATTCACTCCAATCGTTAAAACAATGATTAAGAAGAAGAAGAGAAATCAATCGACAAATAATATGTCGACGTTTAACAACACCACTGCTGTCGACAACACGACTTTCTTCGCCGATAACACCACTAATCAAATGCACCGCTCTTTCCGGTCGACCACTACTCAGACTAACGACAGTTTGCGACGAATGAGTGAAGTCTGCGATCAGACCTTTGATGTGCCCATTAATGACAAATCGATGGGACAGTCGTTCACTCGAAAGCTCGACCGATACAGGAGTTTAGAGACGGGTCGCGATATCGCCGACGCCAACACCGATTTGATCCCTGGCCTCGACTTAAGCATTAGTTTTGCCAACAAAGAAGTGACAGAAAACATAGCGAAGCAGAAGAAACAGTCTGTCGAAGAGCTCATCGATAACGATGGCCACGAGATCTCTGCCATTGAAGGAAATGCCAATGAAATATGTATTGCAGATAAAGATTTGGATTACATCTCTGCTGCCGATGAGGTCTTTGTTGTCGATGAAGTCTCTGCTGTCGATGAGATCTCTGCTGTCGACGAGGTCTCTGCCATCGATGATATCTCTGTTGTCGATGAGATATCTTCTAATGAAGGCGAAGATATCGATAAGGAATCCATTGGAGATGAATGTGTCGATGAGGTCGACGGCGAAGACAAGGAAGAGGTCGCCGACGAAAGCGATGCAGAGATTGCCGTCGAAGACGAGGAAGAAGTGGACGACGAAAGTGAAGCAGAGATTGCCGTCGAAGACGAGGAAGAAGTGGACGACGAAAGTGAAGCAGAGATTGCCGTCGAAGACGAGGAAGAAGTCGACGACGAAAGTGAAGCAGAGATTGCCGTCGAAGACGAGGAAGAAGTCGACGACGAAAGCGATGCAGAGATTGCCGTCGAAGACAAGGAAGAGGTCGACGAAGAAAGCGATGCAGAGATTGCCGGCGAAGACGAGGAAGAGATTGGCGCCGAAATTAATGCAGTGATTGGCGACGAAATTGATTCAGTGATTGGCGGCGCAGACGAGGAAGAGATTGGCACCGAAATCGATGCAGGGATTGGCGGCGAAGTCGAAGAGAATGTCGCAGAAGAGATCGACAATCAAATCGAGGCACAGATCGGCGGCGAACTCGAAGAAGATGTTGAGGAAGAGATGGTCGGCGCCGTCGAAGCAGAAATGGGCGGTGAAGTGGAAGAAGAGTTGAGACGATCGAAACGAAATCGATTACCAATAATGGAGTTCTGGAGGGGACAGAGGGCTGTCTATAAGAGAGACAGCACTGGAATCACTGAAAGAATCGTAACCGTTATGGAAGGCTCTCAAGACATCACCAAAAAGCGAAAGAACACAAAGAGAGGAACGAAACGGAAATTAGATTTCGGCCAAAAGAGAGACAAAGAAATAAATATATTTGATTTATCACTGCATAAGAAAGTGAAGACAAAAAACGACAACAAAAACGCGACACTATTTAAATCGTTTGAGTCGTTGGTCTGGAAGCCGAGCCCTCACAGCGAAGGCGTCGACATCGCGATTGTCAATAAGAACAGAGCCAAAGGCGAAGTGATAGGAATGGTTAGACTCCAAGAGTTGGCCACTAAGAAGAAGTCATTGACCGCCGACTACGAGACACATCTCACCGTCACTTACGGCGCCCTTCAGCTCAAACTCGATGACTCGAAATGTATTATTAAAACTGGCGATAGTTTTACCATTGAGTCCAACACTAACTACTCGTTATGCAATTTACGCAAAGACATCGCATACCTGTCGTTCACTATATTGAAAGACTAATACTTTGTATTTATAATTTCATTTCATGATTACATTATTATGCGTTTGTTTTCATATCATTTTAAATGACACCCAATATTCACTCTACTTTTATCCAAATTTTTATATAATTGATATATTTTTCATTTTCATTGTCTTTTATGCAACAAATCAACAGTTGTGCTAAATTTTGTGTAATTGTATTTCAATCATAATTATTTTACTTTGAATATTATCAATAAATTTTATATTTAATGACAATTTGAATAAAACTACTTAAAAATGACTGATTTTCGATATAAATCTAGTGTCAAAATTATTCGC